ACGAGGGTGAGTTACAGATTAATGTTGAACATCTAAGAAGAGAGAAAATGAGCGCTCTCTCTCTTTGGTGAATCTGTAACTGTTCTCTTTGGGCAGGGCAGGAGTTGGCTGTAATATATATATATATACATATATATATAGAAAAGGATGTCAGTTTGGTTGAGACCGAATCATTTCAGCCCTCCTGCCCAGTGTACGCTGAGCTGGTTGACATTATGGGGCGCGCCTCAGACAGATTGCTGTTGCAGTGGAGGCGCGTCTGGGAGGAACCCGCTCATGGTATTTTGGATGGCTGGTTCCTCCCCACCCATAAGCCACCAGCCCGGATGAGCCTTCCATTCGTTTCCGATCTCCACGCTGGGATCGAGAGGGTATGGAAGAATCCGTTCTCCTCACGTCTCTATCTGCATCAGCGGGCTAGTTTCGCTGCTGTGGAGGGAGCCGTGGAGAACGGATAAGTGTCGAGGCCGCCAGTGGACGAGACGTTGGCTAACTATCTCGTCTCTGGTTGGTCCTCTTCACTAAGAGCTCTGACCCTGTCATCCAAGCTGCTCAAGACATCTTCATGCTTGAATGACAGAGCGTACACGGCAGCAGGTCAGGCAGGTGCGGTTCTGCACGCCCTTGTGGTCCTCAGGCCTACCAGACCGATCTGTTGCGGGACTCCGGGCCACCAAGCAAGCTGCTGTTCTGTCGGTGCTATGGTGGCCACAGAGAGACATCTGTGGGAGCTCCCACATACTGTGGTTGCCAGGTTACAGGCCTCACCAGGCCTTCCTGGTTATGAGCTCCCACTGATTGTGGTCACCGGGTTACAGGCCTCACCAGGCCTTCCTGGTTATGAGCTCCCACATGCTGTGGTCGCTGGGTTACAGGCTTCACCAGGCCTTCCTGGTTATGAGCTCCCACATACTGTGGTCGCCAGGTTAAAGGCCTCACCAGGCCTTCCTGGTTATGAGCTCCCACACATTGTGGTCGCCAGGTTACAGGCCTCACCAGGCCTTCCTGGTTATGAGCTCCCACATACTGTGGTCGCCAGGTTACAGGCCTCACCAGGCCTTCCTGGTTATGAGCTCCCACATACTGTGGTCGCCAGGTTACAGGCCTCACCAGGCCTTCCTGGTTATGAGCTCCCACATACTGTGGTCACCAGGATACGAGCTCTCACGTACTGTGGTCGCCAGGTTAAAGGCCTCACCAGGCCTTCCTGGTTATGAGCTCCCACACATTGTGGTCGCCAGGTTACAGGCCTCACCAGGCCTTCCTGGTTATGAGCTCCCACACATTGTGGTTGCTGGGTTACAGGCCTCAAAGGGGCCTTCCTGGTTATGAGTTCCCACTTTCTGTGGTGGTCGGGTTATAGGCCTCACCAGGCCTTCCTGGTGATGAGCTCCCACACATTGTGGTTGCTAGGTTACAGGCCTCAAAGGGGCCTTCCTGGTTATGAGTTCCCACATACTGTGGTAGTCAGTTTAAAGGCCTCACCCAGCCTTTCTGAATGTGGGCTCCCACATGATGCGGTAGCCAGACTACAGCCTCACCACCTTCCCTGAGCACTTTGCTCCCACTCTGTGGTCACCAGGCTTCAGGCTTCATTGGCCTTCCTGGTTGTGAGTTGTCACATGTCAGGTTGCAGGCTTCACCAGGCCTTCCTGAATGTGAAACCCCCACTTTTCGTGGTCGCTAAGTTGTAGTGGTGAGTCTTCACATGTCAGGCTGCAGGCCTCAGCGGCCTTCCTGAATGTGAGCTCCCCATGCATTGGGACTATCGGGTGTTAGGCCTTGTCAGGCCTTCCTGATTATGGGTTCCCACTTGTTGTGGCTGCCAGGTTACAGGCCTCAAGTTCGGCCTTTCTGAATTCAGAGTGAAGTACACTAACCCCTACTTCACCTATTATTGTGGTAAATCACATGACGGGATGTCTTGTGTACTTTCTAAAATCCATTTTGTATGGTAAGGGTCACGCGTGGTATGCTTCGGTCCCTTCTTATGTGGCTCAGACCCCGGTCTTCCCTTGGGTCCCACTTTAAGTGGCGTCCTGTCACTGGCTACAGGGACGCCCTTCTCTGGCTAACTTCTGGAAGAAGTAGCTTCCACTTGGTGGAGTAAGCTCCCACAGGTTGTGGTCACCAGGCTGGGTCTCACTGACCTTCCTGATACGAGCTCCCACCCAATGTGGTCGCCAGGTTACAGGCCTTACCAGGCCTTCCTGGTCATGAGCTCCCACACACTGTGGTCGCCAGGTTACAGGCCTCAACAGGCCTTCCTGGTTATGAGCTCCCACATATTGTGGTTGCTGGGTTACAGGCCTCACCAGGCCTTCCTGAATTCAGAGTGAAGTACACAAACCCATACTTCACCTATTATTGTGGTAAGTCACCCGACGAGATGTCTTGTGCACTTTTTAAAATCCATTTCTTATGGTGAGGGTCACGCGCAGTATGCTTCGGTCCCTTCTTATGTGGCTCAGACCCCGGTCTTTCCTCGGGTCCCACTTTAAGAGTTCTTAAGAGCTAACTTCTGGAAGTAGCTCCCACTTGGTGTGGTTTTTCAGGTACACCAGGCTGGGTCTCACTGACCTTCCTGAGTACGAGCTCCCACCGGATGTGGTCGCCAGGTTACAGGCCTCACTAGGCCTTCCTGGTTATGAGCTCCCACATACTGTGGTCGCCAGGTTACGAGCTCCCGCATACTGTGGTCGCCAGGTTACAGGCCTTACCAGGCCTTCCTAGCCATGAGCTCCCACACACTGTGGACGCCAGGTTACAGGCCTCAACAGGCCTTCCTGAATTCAGAGTGAAGTACACAAACCCATACTTCACTTATTATTGTGGTAAGTCACCTGACGAGATGTCTTGTGCAGTTTTTAAAATCCATTTCATATGGTGAGGGTCACGCGCGGTATGCTTCGGTCCCTTCTTATGTGGTTCAGACTCCGGTTCTTCACTTTGGGTCCCACTGTAGATGTGTCTTTGTCGCAATACATTACGACAGGCACTTCCCTTGTTCAAGCTATCTCCCACAACTGTGGTTTTAGGTCTGATTAGACCTTTTTCGAGGTAGCCCAACATTGTGGGTCTGTCAGGTTTCTAGCCTCTGGCTTTCCTGAAGGATGAGCTTCCACATGCTGTGGTCGTTGGGTTTCAGGCCGCACAACGTACGGCCTTCCTGACATGAGCCCTCATGTATCGGAGCTCCCCACACATGGGGTCATCAGGTCTTAGGTCTCTTTGACCTTCCTGATTTTTGATCCCTCTCTTACTTCCTCAGTGCTCAAAAGCGAGCACTGGGTGGAAACTCGTGGATTGAGTGTACGATTCCCATTGGTTCGAGGTTGAGTCACACTCTCCGGAGGATCCCGTCTCTGTGATCCGAAACTCGATGGTTTCCGCCAGCTTCGCGGGCCTTCAGTTTTTGGATGCCTTTTCTAGGCAATTTCCAGAGGCTCTGTCTTGGACGGACAGGCTATGGCCAGACTGTGGGTCTTAGTACAGATCACCAGGCCAGCCTGGGGGCATTTCAGGAGGAGTGTTCTCCTGAATAGTGACTGGCTGGGGGTCTCTTTGGCCCCCTAGCCACACTCCCTAGAAGGGACCCCTTCTATTTTGAAGTTGTGGTCCTAAAGCCTTTGAGCTGGCCCTGATTTACTCACGTTATTACGTTCTGGTTTTTCTTGGTTCATTAGCTTGGGCTATGACCGGTAGGGAGTGCTGTCACTGACAGCCCGATGTAACATAGGGTGAGTGGTTTCAGTGTTCCTTGGAATTCCTGGTTCTGACAGTTGTCACTGCCTTTCGGCATGCACTCCCCTCAGCATGGCGGAGTGGGTATTTCGTTCCCCATAGCGTCATTCGACGTATTGTTGAGTTCCCTTCGAAAGGGAACGTCTCAGGTTACGACTGTAACCTATGTTCCCTGAGAACAGGGAACGAGACAATACGTCTCGTTGCCATGCCTCGGGGCCTGCCTGCAACAGTCCCTTCAGACGATAGGATGTTGTCACGGTTTCAAGGCGCCCTTCTTATACATCCAGATTGACGCGCTCATCATTCAAGCTGATGATGCACGGGCTGTCGCCGGTCAACCTGATTACTGTGAGTTGATATTTGATTTCAGACACCTGTCACGCCTGAGGCGTTCCCCCATAGCGTCATTCGACGTATTGTCTCGTTCCCTGTTCTCAGGGAACATAGGTTACAGTCGTAACCTGAGACGTTTTGTTGATTGTGATAAATCTAAAAAATGTATTTTTTTTTTAAATAATAAATATGATCTTATTACTAGCAAAATTCCATATTCATAAATCTAAATATCTAAACGCCAAACCTCTCTTTCTTGTGAAAGAAAAAATATCTATTTCAATTAAGTTGTCTGAAAACAAGAAAGCCTTAAAACATTATCTGTTTGTAATTCTTTTCCTTTTTTTCAGTGTCAGGTAATTCTTGTATCAAAATGTTTCATTTATATTATTCCCCCCCCAGGTAGCAAACAGACGTTGGCCCAACGTTGGCCCAACGTCTGTTGTTGTGTTGGGCCAACGTTGGGTGCTGACGTTGGCCCAACGTAATTTTGTCCGTTGGGCCAACGTTGGGCCAACCATCTCATTGGATGGCCAGCAGACCTTCTGCCAACCAAAAAACCACGAAAACAACATTGGGCCAACGTTGGGCCAACCATGTCATTGGACATTCAGCAGACCTTCAGCCAACCTAAAAACCATTATAACAAGATTGGGCCAACGTTGGTTCAGCAGTCAGCAGACCTTCGCAAACTTATAAATAAATAGGTTTAACTAGGCTACTTTACACTCAAATTTTAAGATTGTGAAATGGCCTGTTCATTGTTGAATTGCATTAAGAGACGGCACAACAGACAAACTTAATTGGTTATAAAATGACCCTTTTTATTGGTGACAAGTTTAATTTATTAATTAATGCTTATTTATGTAAAAAAAATGCTAACAAAATTAAAATAAAGCCAATCAACAAGGAACCAAAAATTGACAAAAAAGGTGGCAAAGAAAATGCAGAAGGAGGCAAAAAACAAACAAACAAACAAAAACAAAAAACACTGAGTTGCTCTGACGATGAAGACGGAGCGGAGGAGGAGAAGCAGCATACTCCTGTTAAATAAAAACAAACATAAACAACTTTTTAGAGCATTTAAGATATGTGTCGTTTTATTTTTGAGTGTATATTTTTTTTGGGGGAAAGTAGGATTTATTTTCTCGCCAGCAAGAGATTTTCATCATGTTGGGGTAGCAAATTTATTATACATCTATAGTGTACGCTTAGTAAAGATGAAATACCTCTGTTTAGTGGTGGGGTTAGACAGAGGAAGAAAAAAAAAACAATTATTGGAAGACACTTACATTCACTTTCACTGCTGCTGGAATCTAATTGAGGGGGAGGCATCTGCTTTTCTGTGTTAAAGAAAAAATATAGTAATTATCAAAATGTAAATTACTTAAAATGTATATATGAACATATATATATATATATATATATATATATATATATATATATATATATATTAATAACATTTTGGATCAGCCTTAAAAATGCCTTGTGTACCTTTTTCTATTGCTCTTTTTTTTCTTCCTCCATTTCGGTCTCCACTATACTTCAGCCAGGTTTTTATTTTTTCCTCTGCTTCCACCACTTTTGCCCCTTGTCTTTTGGCTGCATCTGTCAGCATGACATTAAAGATTTTTTTTTTTACTTGCATTGCATTTCATTCAATGACACATTATGTGAAACTGTAATGGGTTGTTTTCTCTTTTGCAATTTCAAGACAAGTTATGTCTTAGTTTTGAATTTTTTTTTTTTTTTTAAACACATCACCTATGACAACTTTTGCTAGCAAAAGTGTAGAAAATGGGCTCTTCTGTCCTCTCCCTTGCCAATTAAAATTGTTGGCCAACTCATTGGTCATTATTTCCCTCATCATTCTGTGGACAATGTCTTTAGCAGATGTTCCACCCAAGCTGGTAAGATATCTTGTCTTTGAAAAAAAAAAAAACATGTGTTAAGCACCAGTAAACCAGGTCTAGATCTCTACATATAATATAATATAGTTAGATATTAATAATATGTTAGTATTCGTTTAAGTGAAGAAAAAGAACTTTAGAATTTACTAGAGAACGTTGTGTGTCTCTGTTTGACAGCCTATCCTCCAAATCTTTTATGCCGGTCATGCTCCTTAATGGAAACTGAAACTCCTCATTCACAACTTCAGCAGCATTCTCTCTTCGCAAAATCGCCTGAAGGAGGAGCGTATTCTGCCTGACCTGACCCTTTATCTCTTCCAGCATCTGGTAGAGCCGGAGTTCTCTTTCTGAATCAGACAAACATACGATGCAACATTATAACTACACAGAATTGAACGTATAAAGAGAGAAACTGCACCTCTTCTTTTGTTGTCTTTATCATAACTTTAACAGCCTTTTGTTAAATCCATCCCAGCTTTTTTGAGACGCCATAAATTTAAAATTTGCTCCCATTTCCCATAAAATAGTAAAATTTGACATTTTCAACATTTAATGTGTTGTCAATGTCCTTTTAAAGCAAAATATGATTTTACAAGATTTGGAATTTTGTTTTTATGTTGCATTTCACTTAAAGTCACAATTAAAAAAAATGGTTGTAAATCAAAGCACATTGATATTAATGCTAATTGTCAAAAGCAAGGCTTAAAAAGTTTATCATTTGAAAATAGTACAACTTAGGTTTTATTCTCCTTTTTGGTTACATATATTTTATTTTGTTCCTTGAACAGTGTCTAATCCAAGTTAGAGACTAAAGGTAATTACTAAAAGCTATGTAAGGAGTTAATTCTACTTACCATCTTGTCTTGGTTCAGGTACTGTCACAGCAGGTGCTGATGGTGCTGATGGTGCAAATGGTGGTATGGCTGGCAAAGTCAGGCTTTTGGCTCCATTACTGCAGAATCTTTTTTTTTTTGGTCTTTCCATTGTCTCTGCATATGGAACAGTGAGAAACAGAATCAGTATAATGTACAATACATTGTCAGACATCACAACATTTACTTCCATCCAGAGCTTCGCTGCGATCTTATACAACAGGAAAGTGACCACTGTTCAAAAATTCCTTTCAACATATTATTATAATTCAACATATATTATTCAACATAATTAAATATAGTTTACTACAACTTAATTTTGACAGAAATGTGAGATATAACCTTGTACTGTAATTTCCAACACACAGTTTATACATTCATTTGGCTAAATTTAGGGTTAATTAAGGTTAATTAAAATTAAGGTTAATTTTTTTTTTACCTTACATTAAACACTCTCTTGTGGCTCAGACAAAGGAAATTACTTTAATTAATTCTAAGGGGACCATATTGTCAAGTCTTGGATTTAAGGAATCTGTGGTGACCAGATATGTTGGGAAATGATGCAATGACCACTGTCTGTTTTTGTCTGTACCTGTGTGGTGCCCGCTTGTTGAGGCCTGCACTGGAGGTCTTCCTGAGGCGGTATCAGATGGAAATCCATTTGCATATTTTGATGATGGTCTGTTGGACACATTAAGTGTAATCAATTTTTGTAAAAGCTCAGTGCAAATATAAGCAGTAGGCTATAAAAGGAGAAGAACAGAGGAAACATACACTCTTTTCCGTACACTGTCCTCATCTGTAGACTCCAAACTGTTGCCTTTACAAAACTTCACCAGCTTTCTTCTGGCTTTTTCATAGGAATCTATAGAAACAAATAACACCACTAAGCCTATTATCTGAACATTTGAAAAGAACTGCTTGGCATAACTCACAAGGAGCATCTTTTAATTTTTGAATAGTTATTTCTCTATATTTCTCAATAATAATTCATATTTAATTCCTCAAAGACTTACCATACTCAGCTACCCATTCAGTTATATATTCGTCCCATTCTTCATCAGGAGTTTCATTTTTTTCAACCGCTTTTCTACACTTTGTACTGTTATATGGAGGCCAAAAGGAAATTTTTTTGTCGACGCTCAGCCAGTCACTTGGTATTACCTCTGTCTCATTCTTTTCAGTAAAAACAACTATTGAATACATCTAAAAAAAAAAAAAAAAAAAATATATATATATATATATATATATATATATATAGTGTTACAACTTTATACATTTATTGTAGCTCTATTAATTACCCAGTGGAAATATGATTAATAAAAATAATTCCTAGTCTTATTATTACTATTTCTTATGATTGATAAGGTCTGTACATAATGGGGGGGGGGGGGGGGGGGGCTAATGGGGGAATCAAGCAGTATGCAGGAAAGGATATGCCACAAACCCATCCTTATACTGTAAAAGAAGGACTTTTGAAACAGTCTGTGTAGGAACAATAGTCAATGACTGCCCGGGTTGTTTCACAAAGGTTATGTCAAGACTTGATGAATCAATGGGATAGGTGAAAAATGATGACTTGTTTTGGAATTTAAGACAGACTAGATGTGATGCTTCCTTGTCTTTTAAAATGTTTTTAACTATATAAATATCTCCATTGGACTGGATATAATTGTCTCCCTCTGATAAACTAATTAAAGTTCCACCATTTACATATTTCTTATACTGTGTGAACTGCTGAGATGTCACATCATATGGAACAGGCCCGTTCTTATGTTCCTGGTAAAAACCATCCTTGCACACCCTTATTTTAGTTCTGACACTTGCTTTTTCTGACAATCTCCTGATGATCTGTTGAAGGGGCTGGGTAGGGGTCCTAATCATTTTTTTTAATGTGTAGAGGAAGTTCTCAAATGGAAAAGCTGAGAAATTATGCAGCACACCAAACTGCCTTACATCATTGGCAAGATGTGTCAGCCCGTGTATGTTATACACAACGTAATTACCATAGACAGATTGAAAATGCTCGACAAATGTGATTAGTAACTTTTCAGCAAAATCACAGTACTGGAGACAGAGTGAGGGGCAGCATAATATTCGAATGGCTACATGCAGAAGCATAAAATTGTGGTATAGAACATTCGGCAGATGGTCTTTCAGTGCAACTGGACCAGTGTACAGAAGAAAAGTTCTGAACTCTGTTGCTTTCCACCTATCTACCTCAACAAGGGATCTCCCTTTTCGTACAAACTCTCTGGGGAGTCTCAAGGCAAAGGACATAAGCGCTGCAGAAATTAGGCCTATCTGATGAGCACCTAAACGAGTTGGAAGTGGTCCCCTCATCCAAAACCCTATCAACTTTCTCACAACCCCAAGAAAAACCAGATGCATAACATCTAATGGAAATTGGGAGACCATACCAATTCCAACCTTTGTCAACACACTGGTCCCTTTATGGTGAAACTCATCGTCTTTATTAATAAAAGACGTATCTGTCCGTAAAGGTGAATCTACTTCAGGAAAAGTCATGCGATTTTCCACCCATCTTCCCTCCTGTGTGCATTTTTCACAGCCGTGATATGCATTGTGGGCTTTAATGTTTTTTACGAAAGCCCTCGCACTAGCGTCGCAAACAAAATTAGAAATTTTAATTTCTACACATTTGCCAATTACATCCACACCCTCTAGTTTAAGCTTTCCATATTCATTCACAAATGATTCTAGGAACAGATTGACATTCTCTGGCTTTTTAGATCCAAGATATAAAGCGATGACGAATGGTTGCTTTGTTTTGTCTTCCTCTACCAAGCCTAGAATGGGCCAGAACTGCTTATTACTGCTTTTAAACAAAGGCAGTCCATCAATATTCACTTGTAAATGAATGGCCTTTGGGAGAGGGTCTATCTGGTTTAACACATCCCTAATGCCTTTCTCGACTCCAAAATAATGCATGGTGCCACCAGCAATCTCCTGGACCTCATAATTAGTTTGAGTCCCTAAAAGAGTGCGGGAATCCTTTGGGAGATATGGATGATATTTCCTCAGGATGCCCAACAGCCCATTTAGATGGCATTGTGGTATTTGGCTGTCTATTGCCCAACCTCTGATCTCCTCAGCAAGACACTCTGCAGACTCAACAAATTCATCATCACTTGTGTCAGTTTCTGTCAGAGCATCTGACCAAAATTCATCAGTCTCGTTGTCGTCAACATTAAACTCAGTCTCTAACTCGTCTGATTCATAGGACATGGGCCAATCAGAAGCAGCATCTGACCACACATCATCAGCAGGGGCGTTTTTTTCCAGGCATATGTTTATGTCGGCTGCGTCAGATTCAGCATTGACGCAAACCTCACTAAGGATATTGTAAGCCCTCCGCTTTGCCTGACGTTTAAGTGTTCTGTCTGAATAAATTCTGTTTGCAGACATTGTTAGTGTGCTGCCAAATATCTACAGCTGATTTCGATTGTTTAATCCAAACTAGAAGGCTACAATGCTAGCTATAGCTAACGTTAACAGTTAGAACGGTAGATCGTTACATTGTAAATAATGCTGAGAAAAAAAAAAAGAAAAAAAATATAAGGCTAAGTTACATTTACATCAGATTGTAATGCCTTACTAGATAAGATAACAGGTGGTTGGTTATAAATTAAAACAATATATTGAATCGAGCAGATTACCTTGGACTGGCTGGGTTACCGTTAACGGCTGAAGTGAAGCCTAGAAGAAAGATAACGGTCAAAAGATAATGGTAATTCTAAATCACGCGCACGTCCTCTTGAGCAGAATGAGCTCGCGCCGGGACGTCGACAGATACATTTTAACGCAGGTGCTTATATATATATATATATATATATATATATATATATATATATATATATATATATATATATTTAGGCTTTTAATATAATAAAACAAAGGCCTACTATAATATAATATTATATAATATAATATTAAAAAACCCGAATTGAAGTATTTGAAGTGATAGCTATAATCAGTTTAAATGCTTTAATTTGTTTACATATATTATTATAATTTGAAAACAAACTGAGGCATTTAAATAGATCTAATAGCTAAATATTTTCAAGAAAAATGAATATGTGAACTCATTTATATAGTAATCTATAGTAATCTACCATTCCTGAACCGACCCCCCTCCCACACACACACACACACACACACAAACATTTACACCGTTCTGTGTCCAACCGTTATATAACCGTTATTATTTACTTTAAAACATTATGATGTGATTTTATTTCACATGTCTTTTTGTTTCTCGTCGTTGCCTCTCGTATTGAGCTATTTTGTCCGCTCACTGCCAATCACACGCGCTCGTTCTCTTTCTATGGAAGCTGTAAACTGCATTCACCAGTTTTCACTCTAGCGGTTGACCAGAGCACTGATAGCCTACTTATTTCTCACTTAACCTACAATCAACTGAATTTCCACACATTTCGCGTCAGTCCTCTACATGTCATTTTATGATTTTATGCGCGACCGCTGCTTCAGAAGTGTACGACCGCGACATATAGAGTGAAAGAGGTTCGAGTCCGTGCACGCGTGCAGCTTAGAGGGAACATTGGTCACCACCCCTATGTTTGTGCTTTTATAGAGTATTGGCCTCGTCGAAAATGCACATTAGATGAAAACAAGGCTACAGGCCCGTGCTACAATTTTTCATGTACAAATACAAGCGCGTGCTACAATTACCATCCGTTCTTCAAGGTGACATTTCAGCACTTGACAAACGGACAGCGCCTCGCTAGGGAGGGTACCTCAAGAAAGACCAAAGCACACCGTTAACACCCCCAACAATAATTTCTGGAAGCAATTATATTCATGCTTTATTCTGTGTAAGCCCTGAACCACATGGTGAAGAAGAAAAATGTGTTATTTCGAGTCAAGTCGTTATTTTGACATAATATCTCGTTATTTTCGGCATCATAGTCGTTATTTCAAAATAATATCTAGTTATTTCAATATCATATCATATATTTATGTGTGCAAAATTCAGAATTAAATGAATGTCCAGCAATTTGTACAAATAGAGAGTCTGGCCTCTACGTGTTAGCTATATATGAGCACATTTAGTTTCATATTTGTTAAAATATTGTAATGTTTTTTCTTCCCATGTTGATTATGAAAAGTGAACAGCATTACTATAGGATGTGTAATATCGGGACACATAGAGTTGGTCAGACAGGATTTTGACCACTTCATTAAGTTTTGTATATACAAAACCTTCCATAGAAAGCCTTTCTTTAAAAAAATCTTTTGTATACATTGAATCTTAATTTTAATAAATTTTTCATCAACCAATTGCCTATTTAATAAATACGAAGCAAATATAGCAGACAACTGAATATAATCATGACCTGGCGACGGCGCGGTCACAGTGCACTTATTGCATTGCTCTTGAACTTGTCAACAATAACTAAATTTTTGTGGCATGGCAAACGACTTCGCATTAAGCTCACCACTCTGCAGCAAGAAAGGCAATTGTATTAGACAATATGTTGTTGTTGTTTTTTTTTTACTTTTATTTTATTTGTATTATTATAATTTGTTTTTATATTATGTATGCTTCGTAATATGCTTATCTCGGTATGTATGCAAATGCTTGTATGTATGTAGGTGTGTGATTAAATATATATATACATAATCTATTTCTGTGGTTTGTATACCATATGTATTGCCTTCTATAAGGAAAAAGAAATACAAATTTGATCACAAAAAAAAGCATTGCAGCTGACCATACCAACGTTGGCCCAACGTTGTATTTCTGTCAGATAGGTTGGGCCATCACAGCTGACCATACCAACGTTGGCCCAACGTTGTATTTCTGTCAGATAGGTTGGGCCATCACAGCTGACCATACCAACGTTGGCCCAACGTTGTATTTCTGTTGTATAGGTTGGGCCAACGTAACCAACCAAAATTGACGTTGGCCCAACGTCTGTTTGCTACCTGGGCCATTGTTATTATTATTTTTTTTTAATCTTTTTAATGGTTTTGTGGTTTTGTATTCTGTTATCTGTTATTATTTGTGTATTGTGTTAAACATTAATAATAATAATAATAATTACAAAAAAACCTTCATTAAAAAAAAAAAAAAACTAGCAGCTGGTAACCTAGCAACGTCATTCCGCTACACGGCTCCAGAAGGCTCCCAGTGTCCGAAACTGTTTCCGGAGGTGCCTTCATTCCTTGCCTTAAACGTCATTTGTCAGTCGTCGTTAGGCTGGTTGGGTTTTTGGGTGCAGCCTATACATCTGTGAGTGCGACAACATTTCTGTAATTACATTTCTTTTTCTCGGATTGATCCGTTTCAGTGTTATACGTGCTGAAGTTTTGCTTACTTTTGCTCTGACGCCACCCGGGACCATTTAACAGTGGCAACTGAAAGTGAAAGCAAGGAAACAAATCGCTGCTTTTCACCAACAGCTGGTCCGTTAGCAGCGATATTTGCATTCATGTCCAGGATCGTAACTTTGCACATTTGAAGATGCACCTACAGGTCTGTGTTTTGGTGTCAGTACTGTTGACTGCTGATGGTAAGTAGTAGACTACAGCCTGCTGAAAGAAAAACAATAGAAATCATGACAAACCATTAAAACCATCGCCATTACAAACCATTAAAACATTGGCAAATTGTTTCCACTACGTATGTTATTGATTTGTAGGCTATAGGTTTCAATTACAAATTTTACACATTTAATGGTTTCCATTGCAGTTTTGTATTTGTTTTGATTTGTACGGCAACGTAGCTGTTAATAATTAGGCCATTAATTGGGCCATTAAGTATAATTAAAAAATGAACTTGAATTATTAAGTACAACTTAATATAAGTTTAAGTAATATAAACTGCACATCAACCTTTAAATATCTAACAACACCCCGGGGTTGTGTTTTGCAAAGAATGAAGAACATGAAAACCTGAAATCAAAATAATATATAGAGAATTAAGACCTGCTTATCTGACGCAATACATTTACAGTATATGATGTACATGATGTATTATAGAAATACAAGAACTGTGAATTGTGTTTGAATTGTGGCTTTACTGTGTCCACTGTGGCTGACTGATTAGACCTGCAAAAAGAAGGATAATTCATTGGGACAATGTACCTCTTAAACCATATTACTACTACATGAGATTATCCATACATTATATGTTTAAACTGGAGTCTCAAAGAAGTTGCAATAACTTAGTTCTTGACAACATCATCATGACTAAATGCATTCAACATCTTGGGGTGTACTTTGACCAGATTCAAGATCTTGACAGCTGTGTCCACATGTAATGTTCATTGTATGACAGTCATCTGTTTATGCTCTGTTTATCTTGTGTATTTGCAATGGCTGCCACTCATCATATCATTAATCGTGCAGCACTATTATGTATTCATTTTTGCTTTGAGAAACTACAAAACAAGCTTTATTTAATTTGTCTCTGTCCCTTTCATGGGATAAAATTGTTTCAGGGTTCATTGTGCGTGGTCCCTCTGCTCCTCTGGTTGCTCCTCTGGGAACTTCAGTGGTTTTGCCCTGTTATGTTGATAAACCTTTACCAATGAAAGATCTGGAGGTGGAGTGGAGAAGAGCAGACTCAGAGACTCATCTGTATCCCGGTGAGAGTCGACCAGAGGTCCAGCAGCAGGATTATCAGGATAGAGCTCACTTCTTTACTGATCAGATTCAACATGGAAACTTCTCCCTCCGTCTGGACAATCTGAGAGCTGAGGATGAGGGAAATTACACATGTAAAGTTAACAGTCAGCAGGATTCTGGAGAGACTGTGGTTCAAATAAAAATTTATAATGTTGGTGAGTATTAATCACATGTGAACACAAATGAATTACTGAATTTAAATTTCATGCAGTGATTTTGTAACTATTTGTTCTTTCAGAGCGTCTGCTGGTATCAGGATCGAGTCGCTCGATATCTGCATCTGTGGGTGAGGACGTCACTCTGAATTGGTCTGTCGACTCTCACGTCAAACCTGAACACATTGAAGAGGTGTCATGGAGGAAAACAGATGAAGATGAAGATATTCCGGTTCTGCTCTACCAAAACAATAAGGCTTTTCCAGCTTCATCATATGAGCAACACAGACACAGAGGTGAGTTCTTCACTGATGAAATCCCCAAATGAAACTTCTTTTCTTCTCTTGAAGGATTTCTCGTTTCGAGATTAAAGTCGAAATATTTTGAGATTAAAGTCGAGAGTACGAGAATACAGTCTTCCGTTGAAGCTGCGCGTGTGTTTGCCGTTGTCTCACATTGCCGCACACACAGGAATTCATAATGGCGCATAGTGAGTGTTTCATTAGGCTACCATTATAGGACGTTATAAAGTATACTGCACCGGAATTAAGTTCACAAACTTTTTTCTATGAATTTTTACTAATATTTCAGTGAAATTAACTTTCATTTAGTAAATCTCTTTCATTGTCAAGACGAGTTCCGTTGGATGACGATGAATGGGTTTTCGCTTACACCGTGTCCTAACTAAACGCGACGCGATAAAATTCTAGCGACAGCAATTGTGTCTGTCTACACTAGACGCGACGCGACTGTGAGACACCACACGTCAATCAAAAATCACAGCCATTCAGAACAGCATGAAAGCGCACTGCTGGCCCGCACTCACATTGGAAATGGGTAAGGACATAATGAAATCAAGAAATAACATTATTAAAAATATTAACAAAATATACTCATTTACTAATTTTGTTATGAAGTACAGTTGTATGTTTGCATAGAATTCATTTTGAACGCTATATTATATGCTTTCAAAATCGGAGGTAAATTATCCATTATCGCTTGTGGCACAGTGACCTATTTTTAACTAAAAATAAATAATGTGTACTCATAACCAGTGTAATTTCTTCATTCTATCAGCTGCGACGTCGCAGAAATAGGAATCGTTTCTAAATTAGAAACTTCGCGTTTCGCCGTCGCGTCTGGTTAGGACAAAAACTCTGATTAACATGGAAAAGATACCTTTTACGGCGTCGCGTGTAGTTAGGACACGGTGTTAGAAAGCCTATCAGCTTCGATCAATATAAAACAAGCCAATGGCAAAGAAAAGCCATGGGTCTGCGGAATTTGTATGGCGTAACTCTGCATCACCTTGTGAGTATAAAAGAAGGATGCCGGCAGAATAGACATGTTTACAGCTAAGCCAAGTTCATCCTTCGTTCCACAAGCCATTTCTGAAAATTGTCAGCTTCTTCAGATGAGCGAAATTCGCAGTGTTGGTGTGACTTTGATATCCTGGCTTGTTTGCCCTTCCTGCTTATCTGTGTAGTGGTTTGCCAGTGAGTGTGTTTCTCCCCAGGCCTTTGAGCACCGAGATTTCCTCTCTAAAAGAGCTTGCACGCGGCACATCTTTTTAAAGATGCCTCGCCCTTGCACTTCTGGATCCGGCAGACTCATGTCTGACTCTGATGGGCATGAGCGCTGTCTGGTGCAGGGGTTTTCAAACCATGGGTACACTAGGCTCCCCCCGGTTGAACGCTCGGATGCGATGCAACTGTGTCCACAGAGTGCTTCCACGCGTGGTGAGCCATGTCCCAGGCCGGCCTCTTCCGCAGTGCAGTTGAGGACTCGCCCAACAGTTCTCGACTGCTCAGAAACAGACTGAGGTCTTAAACACATCCTGCCCCGCCGACCCGCTGCTCACTCCACCCAGTCGGCCGGGCAGGCACCTCAGACTGTTCACCACCAAGGGTGCCCTCCTGCGGCTCCTGCCCCTCCTGCCCGGCACAAGCAGCAGCCTTCACCCTGGCCTGGTCATGGAGGAAGCAGCAGGAGGACGACCCAGCCCTCTCCTGCCCCACCCAACGATAAACTCCAGGTTAAGCGGCGCTCCTGAGATGGGCTGCTCAGGGATGTCGACTGTTACTTCTCAGGGGATGGTAACAGGACCACTCCTTTCCCCGGAGGAGGGCCGGGGGAGAATCTTTTGTCCTCCACTCCCCTCTGCTCACCCTCGGGTTGTGTGGTTGCGGGTAATGTGGTTAAAGAAAGAAGGAACACACCCATCCCTGAGTATCTCTTGAATGACACAGTGCGCCGCCCCGAACGCCGTGCACCCCTCGTCCTCATCTGTCCGAGAGCCGGATGATGTGCGTGCCGTCCCCGGACCATACCACTCTCATCCCCCTCTGTCGCCAGCCCCCTGGCCCAGCAGAACATTTGTCCTTACCTGGTCTCCTCTGTCAGGACGCGGTCAAAGACTGTGCCCCCACACTGGGCCGCTATGCCGTCCACGTCTGGGCCAGTCATTCTGCCTCGCTGCACCACCGATGGGAAGTCTGTGGTTCGTATGACCCCGCTGGTACAGTTGTTGAGAACCTGGCTAGAGCTTCCCAACCTGTCCTGCTGGGTCGCTCGGGCGATCAGGCTTGGCTATGCGATTCAGTTCGCCTCTATCATGAGAGCAGAGATCTCTACCCTGCTGGCGAAGGGTGCGATCGAGACTGTCCCTCCAGCCGAAATGAGGTCCGGCTTCTACAGCCCTTACTTCATTGTCCCGAAAAAAATGGTGGGTTACGGCCATTCCTGGACCTGCGCATTTTGAACCGCTCCCTTCACAGGCTGCTGTTCAAGATGCTCACCGCCAAATGCATTTTCGAATGTGTGCGGCCGCAGGATTGGTTTGCAGCAATCGACCTGAAGGATGCCTACTTCCATGTCTCTATTCTTCCTCGACTCAGACTGGTCCTACGGTTTGCTTTCGAGGGGCAGACACACCAGTACGCGGTTCTCCCTTTCGGGCTAGCGCTGTCTCCTTGAGTCTTCACAAAGGTAGCCAAGGCAGCCCTTGTTTCCCACCGGGTTCGCGTCCTGAATTATCCCGACAACTGGTTGATCCTAGCTCACTCTCGAGATCAGGTTTGCGAAAACAGGGACCTAGTGCTCCGGCACCTAGTTCGTCTGGGCCTTCGAGTCAACTGGGAAACTTTGCCCCGTGCAGAGGATCTCTTTTCTCGGTATGGATATCGGTTCGGTCGCCATGTCCGCGCTCACTGCTGACTGAGAAGGTGGGCATGGCAACACGGCACTCTCCTAGTACAAGTTACTCTGACTTGCCGTCAGACCTTCACCCCGTGGACGAACCTCAGTTTTCTACAGGCCAGAGTAGCCCTGGAGCGAACTTCCCGACATGTTGTTGTAATGACAGATGTCGGGTGGGACAGATGGGATAGGACCCCAGCGCCTATGGCACGTCAATTGCCTCAAGTTGCTGGCTGTACATCTCGCTCTGCGCTGCTTCAGAGCTATGCTCAAGAGCCGTCATGTACTAGTCCGATCAGACAATACCGGAACTGTAGCATACATCAACCGTCAAGGTGGTCTGCGCTCCCGCTGTATGTGGCAACTCGCCCGCCACCTAATCATATGGATTCAGAAGCATCTGAGGTCCCTTTGTGCCATTTATATCCCCGGAGCCCTGAACCGTGCAGCCGACGAGCTCTCACGGCCTCAGGCCCTCCCTGGAGAATGGTGACTCCATCCCCAGTCGGTTCAGCTGATTTGGGACCAGTTTGGGGATGCAGTCTGTGTAAGTATCTCTCGTTGAAAACCGCCTTTCTGGTGGCTATCCGGTGACTTACACGCGTTTAGGCTGAATCCCAATTCTCTGTCTTACCCCTTCCCCTTAGTTTTGCATGTTCACGTGAGAGGAAGGGCTATCACAATTCTCATTTTGATCTAGGGGTAGGGGTAAGGTGAAGGGGTATATACCCCCTAAGACCAAGAATTTTGGCGAGCTTACTTGAAACCAAGGGGTAAGAAATGGACAAGTTTTTCCGCTTAAATGATTGATAAAAAAATATGACCGTCTTGTTTTGTGCTCTACATAATTAGGTACATATATATTTGCAATTATGTTGTTTATTGAAACGTTTTTAAAGTTTTAAAAAATCGCTACTTTGCTACGCTAGGCTATGCTAACGTTACATTGTTTTGCTCAATCAGTCCCACATTTCAAGATCACCCAAAATGTCTGGGATTCAGCTTTTGCTTTCTACAGTCGTCATTCATAATGTGTACATTATCTGACACAGACACGTACGTGATCAGCTTCTCAGATGATGTATTCAGCTTCAAACGGATCCCGACTGAGACGAAAACACGGAAATATTAGATCAACAATACATTCAGATTCACCGCTTTAAATGAATGAATTCGTCCGATTGAAACAACACCTTGTGCATGTAAACATGATGAATAGTGAAGACGGAAAGCAAAAGCCCAATCCCGGACAGGGGGAAGGGGTAAGACAGAGAATTGGGATTCAGCCTTACTTTGGGCCTAATGACTCCAAGGTCATCCTCAAACCGATATATGGTTATGTTCCCAAAGTACTTGCCACTCCTTTCAGAGCGCAAGTCATTTCCCTGTCAGCCATCTCCCAATCTGACAGCGAGTCTGGTAACGACAGACCTAAGAAGTGGTGACATCTAACAATGACTCCGTAACACATACTGAGACAGACAGGGAATATATACACACAGATCTAACAACGAACTAACAAGGAACAGATTGGTACAATGATTACGGTGAACAGCTGAGTGCAATGAACAGTGATTGGTACAAACAAGGATTGTGGGGAATGCAGTTCATGAAAGGATGACACCGTGGGGAAGAGGACCTCTAGTGGATACCCAGGGAAACACAACCAGACACTGTGACATGAGTACTATAGTGTCATTCTCCAACTCATTTGTGTAAACTGTAAGCATCTCTCAGTGAATCAAACTGAAGCCTTAGTGTGGTTGATTTTGTCAGTTCAGTCAAACAGCAGCTCGCAACCAATAAACGAGTCATAGTCCGTGTGTTGGTGGTGATGGCACAGTGGATACGACACATGCCTTTGGTGTGAGAGACCCGGGTTCGAATCCACTGTGAGACACCAATGTGTCCCTGAGCAAGACACTTAACCCCTAGTTGCTCCAGAGGCGTGCAACCTCTGACACATATAGCAACTGTTAGTCGCTTTGGATAAAAGCGTCAGCTAAATGAATAAATGTAAATGTGTGAGTGTCACGTCCATGCACTTCCATTTGGTCACCACCAGAGGTCACCCACTCAAAGCATGGGTTCTTGCACTTCACCACAATCCCCATCATTCATTGCATTACGACAACGAAAGGAAACAGTCTCGGTTACGAATGTTACGTATTACGCTCCGTCTTCATGCCACTTTCCGCTGTGCCGTGGGCTCCTCATCGAATAAACATGTTTGTATTCTGCCCGCTTCCTCCTTTTATACTTCGACTTTGGCGATGTCATCTATAGAACTGCCTCAAACTCTTTGCTGAAAAAACTGGACGTGATCGATCGTAGCATTATACGCTTTGTTACTAATGCCCCTTACAACACCCACCACTGCAAGCTCTATGCATTAGTTGTCTGGCTGTCATTAACTACTCGGCGTTTAACTCATTGGTACCAACATATTTACAAGTCTCTGCTTGGTAAAGTCCCGCTGTACTTAAGCTGTTAAGTTTCCATTGCTCTTCCCACTCACAGTCTATTTTCTAGTTCTAGTAGGTATATCGCCTTCAACATGACATCATGACTTTTGCGTAAACATACACGCCACTTTCGAGTCAAGTGGCGTGTTATCTCTACGCATTTTGAGCTATCCGCTTGTATCCGCCTATATGTATCTCTACGCCATTAACGTCCGAGTGATTCCGCGTGTCTGTACACGCCGTCAAATGTCCACGCGAAACGAAGAAAAATGTAGGTCTACATCTGGGGAGCGATCTTTTTTTTCCTAGGATGGTAAGGGAACAGTCATAAATGCCATTAACCCCAGTGACGGTTAGGTTTAGGGACAGGGTTGAGGTAAGTCATATATTTATATAACGTTAAGTCAACGGCGTTCATAAACACGCTAAAAAGTGATTATGCGTCTTGATAGCACGCCAAAAATGGAAATACGAATTGGCGCGTCAAACACGCGCTACTTCATGCGATCAGTCTGATTGCCTTAGTCACCCCGAAAGTCCGCACATCATTCGGCCGCCAATCCTTCCAGTTTGCTGCAGCTAAGGACTGGAACGAGTTACAAAAAACCCTAAAACTTGAGGCACTTATATATCACCTGTTGCCTTTAAACAACTTCTTTCTGAACACCTGACTTATATATGTTCCTGTTAGTTGTCTTCAATCTTTGCTTCTTTATGTCTGCATTGTACAGTGGACCTCTTTCAGCTGCACTACTGTCGGAAATGATTTTAACTATTTATATTTTTATCTTAAAAAAACATTTGTATGTGCCTTAATTTGGTTACTCAATAGAATTACATATATTTTATCCTGTTCTCTTGACCCTTTATTGCTTTATTGTGTTTCACTGTATTTTGCAAATTTGCTCTCCAGTGTTTTGTGTACTTATTGTGTAACTTTATGTTGTCTTGCACATTTTTCGCCTTATCTTGGCCAGGTCGCTGTTGTAAATGAGAATTTGTTCTCAATCGGCTTACCTGGTTGAAATAAATAATTAAAAACCTGGTTAAATTTAATACCTGGTTAAATAAAAAAATACTCATGAGACGAAGCGGAGTTACTCTATGCAAATTTCTTTGCCATTGGCTCAATTTATATTGATCAAAGCTGATATGCTTTCTAAGCGAAACCCCATTCGTCATCATCCGAAGGAACGTCTCTGTTCCCTACTCAGGGAACGAGGGTTACATACGTAACCAAGATGTTTTCCTTGATTTTTTTTTTTTACTGTGATTTACTGGTAGCTGGGTTGCCAGTAAATTGCTGTTTTTCTACAGTTTAATGTCGTACATTAATTTACAGTTGGTTACCGTTAAATTACTCTTTAATCTGTTTTTATTTATTTTTTAACATATTTAACCCTACTGCAAAATCTTTTGTTTTAAATGAACACTTGTGTGTCCACACTACAGGGTGTTGGAGTAATACTGAAGCAGTGTTGAAGTTAATGATATAATTCAGTGATTAATGAACTAATGATGGTCAGAGACTGTCAGAGACTGTTCACGTCACGTCTGCCCCGTCAAAGAGTGTTCACGTCACTTCTGCCCCATCAGAGACATTTCACATCACTTCTACAGAGCCAGTGTCTACGTACAAGAGGGCCGAGCCAGAGTCTCTTCACGTCACGTCTGCCCAATCAGAGACTGTTCTCATTACTTCTGCCGATCCAGAGCCTGTTCACGTCATGTCCGTCTACGGACAAGATGGCCGATCCAGAGTCTGTTCATGTCACTTCTTTCGAGCCGGTGTCTACGGACAAGATAACAGAACCAGAGACTGTTCACGTTACTTCTGCTGATCCAAAGACTGTTCACGTCACTTCCTCCGAGCCAGTGTCTACAGAAAAGTTGGCCGATTCAGAGTCTGTTCACGTCATTTCTGGCGACCCAGAGATGTTTCACGTCACTTCTGCCAAGCCAGAGACGTTTCACGTCACTCCTACAGAGTCTACGGACAAGATGGCTGATCCAGAGTCTGTTCATGTCACTTCCTCCGAGCCACTGTCTACGGACAAGATGACCGATCCAGAGTCTGTTCACGTCACTTCCTCCGAGCCAGTGTCTTCGGACAAGATGGCCGATCCAGAGTCTGTTCCTGTTCCCGAGCCAGAGTGTGTCTCTTCTGTTCCCGAGTCAGAGTGTGTGTTTGTTTCCGAGGCCGTAAGTGTGTGGTCTGTTCCCAAGCCGGTGTGCGTGTCGTCTGTCCCCGAGCAGAGACTTGCTACTGTGAATGCCTTCACAGACATTCCTGTGAGCATGTAAGACATGCTGCTGCACATGTAACCAGACATCTCAAGTCTCCCGGAAGTTCCGAGAGTCTCCCGCATATTGATAGCGCAAATTAGTTAAAATCTCCTGGAATCTAGAGCGAGACAGAACATACTGCGCGCATAACATGCATAGCGCGCTGCACGTGCACTGTAGAGAGGGAGAGACCTTGCGAGTGTGCCTCGCGAACGCGAAAGCTAGCCCACCCCCACAATCCTGTCACCGAGATATACCTCCCGGAAATGAATTCTTGCAGGTTGGGATGTCTGCATGTAACATACATGAATTAACCCTGTAGCAGATCTACACAGGTGGAGCTGGGGGAGGTGGAGAGTTTCTGAAAGCACACTGCAGACTGCTAACAGTACCGGGAGTTGTTTGAATGTTGACCTGCAACTCATTGGTTGCTGATACGACAGCAACCAATCAGCTGTGCCATGTAGTTAAGGATGTGATTGCTACCAAATTAGTTAAAGACTTATCAGCCTGTGTCATCTAGAGTTTAATGCCAGAACTAGATAAGTACCATGCACTTTAATCTTAGAAACTTTGCCAACCTTTGCACTCACACTGCATCAAAGGTGATATTCAAAAAAGAAAAATGTAGGCACTTTCATGATTCACATTTATTTTCACAGTGTGAAGACATCACACACGATGTACCTTTTTGTTCATTAACTGATATCTGTGTTTCACAGGTTTCTCTGTTTCACACATAATAATTTTGATTCTATGTATTTCTGCATCTGGATCTGCACTTCTGCTGTGCTGTCTGATCTACTTCAGATCACAAAATACAGGTAGGTCTATGTGAGGCATCTGAATGCCATGAAAATACTCTTATCTGCAATAATTCAGATCTTCTCAGCTAGAGTGTTGCGACACAACAAAAACAACAAATAATAACATATAATGAAATATGCCACTGTGTGATAGTTGTTCAGCATTTAACAGTGCAAATTGGCTACAATACTTATTTCATCTTCATGTTTGATTATCAAAGCTAACTACATGATGTGAACATTGTTTGACCTAATAGGTAAATATTTTGCATAGGAAAGCAACACATTCTCATCCCAAAAAGTCATATAACTGACGTTTTGGGACGTCTTTTGACCATACGTCAATATTCGCCTTTTTAGGGCCCCCTTAAACGTCGGTAGATGGCAATGCCGGGCCGTCATACAACTGACGCTTTACCTTTAACGCCAGTTAGGTGACGGGTTAGGTTTAGGTCTGGGGTAGAGTTAGGATCCCATAACCTCATCTACCGACGTTTAAGGGGGCCCTAAAAAGGCGAATATTGACGTATGGTCAAAAGACGTCCCAAAACGTCAGTAATGTGACTTTTTGGGGTGAGACTGCGCTGAGGAAAGTTCCAAAGAGATGCACATATGAATCTCAACACACAAATCTCAAACGTGGTACGACAAATAATTGGATTTTGGATTTAATACATTGGGTATCAGCAAAATGTTATAATAACAAATGTAAAAAAAACAAAAAACAACAACTATAATTTAATGTCTATCTTTGCATTTACTTGCTTGATTTATGGTGCTGCTGCTGAGGTTGTCACTGTTATTTAGCCGTCATATGGTTCAGAGTTCATATTTCCACTGTATTAATATTTATTGATCATCAGCATGTTTACTATTTGTGTGTTGAGGTACTGTTTATTTGCATCTCATTGCATCTTTTCTATGCTATATATTTATCTATTAGGGTAAAATGTTTGCCTCCATGTAGCCCTTCCAGTTTAAACCGCCCTCTCTAAGTCGGATGCGAAACCGGGCCCGCCCGCATTCGAGGGAGGCGCACTAACTGGAGCGGTGGTGCTGGACAACAAAAAAGATATCGGACAACAAAAGAAAAGCTGAAATAACGCGGAGCCCATCAATGTATTTTTATAAGTTAGGTTCACCACCTTATGGATAGTAGCCAAAAGGTGGCAATTGTGGCCTACCCTTACAGGAAAAAAAGTTTACTCAAGTGGTCTATTAGTATACTTTGTGGTACAATTCGTATATCGTACGTATATGTAACTGGAACCTAATTACCTGGGGCGTCTCCAATCGACACCCAAGCGTCAGTCAACGCTTAATAAATATATCTGGGGCGTCAAAAGCATCAAACAAAAAAAGTCAAGTACAATACTTAATATGGCATTTCCTTAAAAGCAAGCAAAACATTTCATTAAAAAGGTAAATAGCATTTTTTAATAATAAGACAAAACAATTTACAATTAATAAATATTTTGCTCCTCTAACAGACTCTGCAACCAAACATGTCAGGACTCTTGGGTTTCTTCATGTGTTTCTTCCAAATGTTATGATGTTTGTGGCCTTTCTCCTCTGGGGTCTTACTGAAGGTGAGTAAATCAAATATACAGTATAATGATCACACAGTCAGAAATATAATTTTCTCTGGATATTTGAAAAACAATACCTTGTAGAATAAGTAAATAAATAAAAATGTATAAATGCATTAGACCTTGCATTATTATTCAGACCCATAAAAGGATTCTGTCATTTCAAACCACTTAGACATTTTTTTTTTTCTTGTTGGGAAAGTTGGAAACCAAATGTTGGGAGCAAATATTGACTTCACAATATTGTGAAAAAAGTTGTTGCCTTAAAATTGTATATATAATGAACTTGGCTGTATAAGAAACATGCCATTTTTGATATTATCACAAATCAGGGTTTTGTTTTGTCGTAATGTGTGTTTGATGTGGATACAAATAACAGTTTTGTAGCATAAAGCAGCTAAATAGCAAAATATCAAAGGGTCTCAAGCCAATCAACACCCAAGAATCTGGTTTTGTTGCAGGATTTCTGTATGAGACGATCTTTTGCTGTGTTCTTTATATCCTGAGGCCTCTGATGGTGATATTTGTTGCACCATATTTAAAGAAGATACCAGGTTTGGATTTTTCATTGAGTTTTTTTTTTTTTATTGCATCCAGGTCTCTTCACATATTGGCTGAAATATGCATAATCTCTATATGAGTGATTTTTATGAGACATTTAGATTTCTTTAACATGAATGTGCAACAATGTGGAAATGAATTATTATTGTTTTGCTCTAATATGTTATATATTCATAAGTTTTAAACCGTTTTTTTCACAGAACTCTGTCTTCTCTCGGAATTTATCATTTTAATGCTGGTCTATTTTTCAGGTTGGTAAATCTAAAAATTCTTCAATATCATAATTTGTTTAAGTTGATCATGCTGTCATTAATGAACAATTCAGTTTTTTTTACAATCACTTTGTTACTATTTTTTCATAACTCTAGACACAAATCTCACAACCAATGATCAAAATGCACATTTTTCAAAACTCTAATTCTTTTCTCAATAGAGTGCCGAAGTGATGACGTCACTTTGTAGGACAACTCGGAAGTTAGCGGCGCATGGGTTCCCTCGATCTAAAAGCTTTTTCATAGACTTTTGGAAAATCACAAAAAATAAGATCTGTGTTCAACAAAGAGTTGTGACCCTTACACGTTTTGTCTATAAAGACAATCTTTACAAGTTAATCCAACCAAAATGTATACATTTTGAAGCCTATATAAAGTTTTAAAAAAACACAAGCAGGTTATAACTGTGTGTTCTGTGTCATAGATCAAAACGTGAAAATATTTAGAGGCTCTGTTCACCACAGACCTTATTTCAGGCGATTTAGCAAAAACCCATTCAAAAATCCCATAGACTTTAGAGCGAGGGAACCGGGAGTGCTAAAATGCTAACTCACTTCCGCGTTTTGGCCTACAGACTGACGTCGTAACTTCGGCACTCAATTTCTTGGATACAAAAGACAAAACTTAGATCATTTGTTCATCACTTAACATCAAAGTACTACTATTTCAAAAGGCAATTCACACATTACATTTCAAATGAGTGTCTATTCATTTCCTTACAATGATCTAACTATCAGTTGATACAGCAGCTCAAAAAGATAAGTAACTGTTGCAGTACTAGTTGAATGGAAGCAGACACACAATCTTCCATGTTTAGAGTAAATCATGAAAGTTTCAAGATAACGAGATTCATTGTCACCAATTAGCGTGGAGCATGAACCAATTCGACTACAATATCTGTGGATGTAGCATAATATTTTATATATTTGCTTTGATTCCATTATGTTTTGATTAGTGTTTTGCATCAATAGCCTATATCACACACTTTGTTCAATGATTCCACTATTCTCTCTACTACTGCAGTGTTTTTTACAATGTGTTTACTGTACATGTAGTGCCATAATAACCTGTATCACCTATTTTGTTCAACAATATTTATTGATTGTATGAACACAGTGAAACTATCCATTGCTTGTGTGTGTGTGTGATCTAGTTGTTTTAATGCTATTTTACAGTAAAATTGCAAGTGCACGATTTCTTTAAATATGTGAATGCACAATGCAATGTTTTGAACATTAGACAGCCTGTGTTATAATTGATAACCGTTGTGAGTTTTGTGTCTAGAGTTGTGAAAAAAAACCCGAATAGTTTAAAATAATTTGCAGTGATTTATCTTTACTCAAAATCATGTTTGGTGGTAATGCAGTTTAATTTTTTAATAATTCAGCGTTCTGAAAGAGAGATAAATGTGTGATTTATCCTGATCCTGTGTGTCTACTGTAAAACCATTAACCTACTAAAAACAGACACAATTCAACCCTGCCTGGATCTGCTTTTACTGAATAATCACATACTCACATAATCACAAGCGTTCAACAGACCTGTGGTTTAAGGTTTGCTGTTTTTCTTTTTCAGTTCTTTTCAGTCATGCTTGGAGAAATATCATATATTATGAATGGCCTGAAAAAATTAGAATATCCATGTTTGTAGTCGTGATTCTGCTCTGTGTCATCTTCATAATTTGCTGTAAGTGTTTCTGCCTATTTTATATAGAGAGGAAGTACTGTGAAACTGTTTAATCAGCTTAACAATACCACACATACACACACACACACAGACACATTCATGCTGTAAAAGTTTATTTGTTTGAAATACATGAACATCTCTGACCAGTAGCGTATCATTTCAGAAGCTCAGAAACATTTATTGTAAACTTTGTAACAAGCAACTAGACTGTCAGTGATTTTCAAATGTATTGTAATTCCCACTCTAAAAAATGCTGTGTTGGCTTTAATTAACTTTTTTATGTCAACAGGTCCTATGTAGCTAGGTTATGTTGGATTTATGTAACATTATTTATTTCATTATTACATATTTATTATTTAATCCAATGCTGTTTATTTGAATAAGGTTAACAGTCTTAGTTTTTTTCCCAAAATTATTAAGTTAATTAAGTACAATTATCCTAAAATTAAGTTTAAGTCACCATTATGGAGATCAGTGTTTGCTTTAGTTGGGCTCTTGGCCCTTGAATCATTAACTTTAGATTTTGTTTGGGACCTGTTGACATAAAAAAGTTAATTAAAGCCAACATAGCATTTTTTAGAGTGACTTGGTGTTAATATATGTATATATACAGTATATATATTTATACATTATACTATCAATGTAATAAATAATTACATCTAAGGCAGGAGTGATGAAAACATTTCAATAAGTGTATTTTTCATTTTCTAGTATTTACGGAAAACATGGAGATGCCGTGTTGTGGAGAGATATGGAAACGGATATGGAGAAAAGTATCTTATATAGTTTATTACAGCTTTTTCATTCTGCCTACATTGCAATTCATCCTCCTGTTCACTGCTTTTGGAAACGCCCCTGGAGGTCAGTGACACTTCATCACATCTGTGCCATTTATGAGGAGTAATAAGGAAAATATTCACAAATGATAAAAGCAGCAATTGTTATTAACACTGATAATTGATTTTTCATACATAAATGAGAGGGGAAAATGCAATTTCATCCTACAGTAATTAAAATGTCTCTGCTGTTCCTGAAAATGCTTTCTGGAAATCGTACATGAATGCTGTTTGTCTGATTTCAGGTTTTATTGTCAGCATGATTTTCCCACTGTTCTTTTTTCTGTCATTTTCCTGTTTGAGGGGCATAAACAAAGGGAAAATCTGTGAGTATGAGATGAACTCATCTGACTATAGTTCAATGTGATCAATGAGTAAATACCATCCCAGCAAAAAAAATCTGAATTTATGGGTCAGAACTAAAAACTATACTACAGGTGAATCAGAAAGTGTGACTTGTGTTTCATTTGTGGGATGTTTCTCTGTTACCTGATTATATTCACGTTTAGTGATTCTGCTTTAATATTACAGGCTTGAATATCCAAGTTAACTATTTTGAACAGATTCTTGAGTTAAACTATTGTAATATTTTTCAGGTTCAGTTGTGCTCAATATAACCTTGTGGTTGATCGTCATGTTCATCATGACTGCAGTAACGGTGTATTATTACAGCACATCACTGAAACGTGAAAAAGGTAATTACATTACATTTCTAATAAAATAAATGATTAAAAATGTATTTATCTAATTACATCTCTGGGCAAAAGGTTAAAATATTTTATTTGTTTTGAACATGAATTGTACAGTTAATTGAAATCTTAAAATAATAAACTCTAAAACTATATAATAAGACACACTTCTGTGTGCAGATGCTGCAGGATGGACGTGTACGGCTGTATTTCTGCAACTGCTGTGGATGATTGCAATGTACATTCGGAGAAATGATCTGGGTACAGTTTTGATCATATTCTGCATTTATCGTTGTGAATTGTTTTCCCTCCTGATCTCAGTTTTGAATGTGACAGTTCACGTGAAGAAGAGTACGCAGGGTGTAAAAGTGATTTTCATTTGGTGTCAGTATATTGTCATTGACGGTTTTCTCCAATCGGGGAAATTCAACCGTAGACACAAGACAACAGATACTGTGTGTGTGACTGAGTGAACAATTTATTTTGCTGTATGATTCACTCTTTTATACCCATAATGCACTCACAGCAAAAGCAAAAAAAATATTACCAAAAACACCAATACTACAGTATTTTGCTCATTCTTGTGATTGTAATTTTGTTCTGGTGCTTGTCTTTCACTTTTATTGATTACATTTAAAGTCCCTGTAAAGGCAATTCTACAAAAAAGTTCTAAACGCATTATAAATGTTACATATGTATTGCTAAAACATATTACAAAGTCTGTGAACTGTGAAGTATTCACAGGAATTCAATGGAAACACATGGCTCAGACTACCTAGTAATCTTCACTAATGATTAAAATTTCCATAACAGTAATTAAAAAGGTTGTTAATGTGCTTTAGGTCATAAAACTATTTTAATGTTACATATAAAACAAATGAAATAATTATACCTGTTTTACAGATCTGACTTTCACCTTTCACACCAAAAAGACATTGTATGTGTTTGGATCAGTTGGTGTCGTTTTACTGAACTCTGTTACACTGATGACTGAACTGATACTGAAAACGGGTGAGTGAAGAACAACACTTTACTGTGCTAGTCTTTCATGCTGTTAGTATTCATTTAAATATTACTAATGGTTACTAATATTTTGATTTCATATTCAGTCAATGGTAAGCGTGCATTTGGAGATCTGAGAGTCGTCCTCTTCTCCTCTGAAAGCATATTTGCTTTTTCTCTGCTGATTTTGTCCATGTTTGGACCTTGTAAGTACAACTACAGTAGAATTATGTTTTATTAGTTTAATGCCCTTATTTACATTACAGTTTTTTACAATCACTTTACTATTTTCAGAACCTTGATGTCATCACGACTCTAGACAAAAAAACTCAAAACAGTTATCACGTGTAACACAGGGTATCTAATGTTCAAAATATTGGATTGTGCATTCACATCTTTAAAGAAATCTTGCACTTGCACACTCATTGGTTCAAAAAACAAATTTACCGTGAAATACCATTGAAACAAAGCTATAGATCACTCACACACACAAGCATCCGATAGTTTCACTGTCATTGTTCGTACAGTCATTAAATATTGTAGAACAAAATAGGTGATACAAGTTTCATAATGGTACTACATGTACAGTAAATATACATCTCTGTAAAAGTACTGCAGTAGTAGAGAGAATGCACACAGTGGAATCATTGAACAAAGTGTGTGATATATGGATGCAAAACACTACAGTACAATCACAACATAGATGTATTGGAATCAAAGCAAAAATATATATTTTTTTGACAAGTTGATCTTGTCTGGTGCCCGAATAATTTTAAACCAAACCTAGCCTAATTGAAAAACCCATACTGGTTTGGTAAAGCCACAGTTACAATATAATATTATGCTACATCCATGGATATTGTAGTCGAATTGGTTCATGCTCCACGCTAATTGGTGACAATGAATCTCGTTATCTTAAAACTTTCATAATATACTCTAAACATGGAAAGTTTTTTGTCTGTTTCCATACAACTATGCATTAAGAGGACTGCAACAGTTACTTATCTTTTTGAGCAGCTGTAGCAACTGATAGTTAGATCATTGTAAAGGAAATGAATAGACACTCATTTGAAATGTAATGTGTGAATTGCCGTTTGAAATATTCGTACTTTGATGTTAAGTTGTGTCATATTGAACAGGTGATTTATGTTGAATGAACAAATGATCTAAGTTGTATGTGTATTGTATCCAAGCAATTGAGAAATGGGTTAAAGTTTTAAAAAAATGTACATTTTGATCATTGGTTGTGAGTTTTGTGTCTAGAGTTGTGAAAAATTAGATCAAGGTTCTGAAAATAGTAACAAAGTGATTGTAAAAAACTGTAATTTAGGCTGTAATTCATAATAAAAAAATCACACTGATTTAACAAGTTATTGCAGACATTTGTATTGTATCAGGAATCAGTAATATCCATTATGCCATTGATGATTTTCTTTTCTCCCGCTGCTTTTAACACGCAGTGATTTCTGACACCAAATGTTGGCAGTGTTGTCAGGTTAGTATCATTGATTAGAGATTTACAATCAACCTGAATTTACTTTATGTATTTAACACACATTTACATTCATCTTTAACAGAAAGCAGCGACAACTGATGACATTCCAGTCACCGAATTGAACCAGAGCCAGGATTCTCAGGTCAATATCTTTTAGATGGTTTTATTGATTTAAGATTTTATAATTGAGCTAAAATAAAAGGCTCTTTGCTTCATGTTAAACCATCCTGCATAAATAAAACGTGTCTTGTCCTGAACCCAGAATGCAGAAGCGTCTGATGAAGCTTCAGCCAGTGGATCAAACCAGAACCAGAACTCATCAGCAGAATCACATGAAATGAATCCTCTACTGAATCTAGATCAGGAAGCTGGAAAAACAGATAAAACCAGCGAGCCGTGCGAGACAATTTACCAGATGGAGGAAAATCAGCCGGATTCAGTGGAATCAGAAACATCAACAATAAGAGAAGAAGACTCTATAAAACAAATAGTTCCGGTCCTTGATTTCTGATTGGTTGAGCCACGTTTGTATTAAATTACTCAACACACACACACACCTGTGACCGCATTATATCAGTATTACTGCACAACTGCCGTTTGTGATGATATGTTGCTGCATGTGTTGCCTTTGCTTGGCGGAGGAATATATGTGTTACAACGTTATATTTTTTTGTTGCTGGTGTTTATTTTATGAATGACAAAATATAAAAAATGTATATTTTTATTGAGTAACCGTTTTATAAAAGCAATAAGTTGTGCCTGTAACAACTCCCCTTAGCTGTCCTAAATTAAAGGGATACTCCATCCAGAAATGAAAATTCTGTCATCCTTTACTTGCCCTCAACTTGTTGCAAACCTGTATGAGTTTCTGTCTTCTGCTGAACACAAAGGAAGATTGGAACTTTGGAACCATTGAGTATTTCTTTCTTTTTTTCTGCTATGGAAGTCAATGGTGTCAAACGCCTGTTTGGTTCCAATCATTCTTGGACATGAAACATATTAAAGGGTACATATCATGCTTTTAAATCATTCATTTTTACATATAAATCATACTGATGTGGTCTATATAAAACATAACTGCAATGCTTCGGTCTGAATTCCTCATTATTTTAGCTCCACAGGCCCCTTTTCTGATGTGCGTCTTTGAGCGACCCGTTTCAAAGCGGCCCCTTTAAATAAAAAGGAGATGCGTCACACCCCGCCCGCTCTCCAGGTCAATGAGTTCACGGTCAGTTCAATTCCCCACGTTTTGCCATTATTGTAGTTTGATTAGAGATATACGATTATATACGATACCTTCAAAGAACATTTTTATTCACACTTCAATAAAATGTCAACAACAGAAAACTTGTCCATCAAGCCTTACATGCGAGCGAGTTGATAAAGACGACGACGAACCTGCAGAACAACCTCTTCATCATATGGATGTATTGGTATGTGAGTTAACTGTTTTGTGTTATTAGTGAAAGTCGACTATTTCTCTTGTTAAAACAAGCACACTGACAAGATAAATGACTACGGTCTAATCTTACCACAAACAATCTGTATTGACAATATGATACGTTTAGAAAAGCATCAGAAAAGCAGCTAAATGACCATTGATGAAACTCAAGAACAATAATAGTGCAGACGTGTAACGTTACTTCAAGACAAAGGTACTGCTAAACCATGACCACCATGTGTTTTAAGAAAGTAAAGTACTTTATTTTTATTAACGATATTTACAGCTTATCGAAATGCTCTGTTCGTCGTCTCCAACGATAGAAGGAATTTACCTCTCATTCAGACGAAGTCGATTGGCAAACCCTTCTTTATACTGGCAGAGGTTGTTGAAGTGGGAATCCTTGAAGTGCTTCAGGCCACCCAGATAGCAAAAATCATCTGGCCCAGATCTGGACCAGACACTCCGTAAGTTCTGGGCCAAATCCGCACAACGGACCCGTTTTTTCCTCATCTGGACCAGAACTGGGCCAGCTCCGGATTCCTTTATGGCGATTTGGCCCAGATGTGGGCCAGATCTGGTCCAGCTCTGTTTTGAATCTGGTCCAGAACCATTCAGAATTTTTAAGAATTCACTACCACTAATTTACTAATCCACTACTTCACAATAATCATGCATTCGGGAAAAAACAAATTTGACATTCAAGGGCTTTTATTTTGATCCATTGTCCATTTATTTGAATAAACAAAATGCAAAACAGGGCCAGTGTGCATCTTTTCTTTTGATATTTTTTCACAAGAGCTAAAAGTTCATACTCAGAAAGAAAGGCGGTTTATTAGTGGCTTGTTATTGGTTTATGAAAGCAAGACATTCCTTGCAGTTACTGTAGTAGAAATAGTTTCACTTGAAAAATATAATAATGTACATTTGATGCAGTAAGTTTTCTAATTTAACAAGACAAAACAGACTGTAACTTATTGTCTGATTCTTCAGATAAGTTACAAAAACAAGCTTTAGATGTTATTTCATAAACTAAGTTAAACTAAATTAAGTCCACTTAAGTACTTGCTGGGCTTACAAAGTTTCAAACAGTGGTACAAAAATAGTCAAAGTCCCTGTAAAGGCAATTCTACAAAAAAGTTCTTAACACATTATAAATGTTACATATGTATTGCTAAAACATATTACAAAGACTCTGAACTGTGAAGTACTGAAATACGGAGTTAGACCGTTAAACAGTTTTTCACCATTGCAATTTTACGGATTGTTTGGACGGGGCTAAAACAAGAGCCCATGAGCTCTTGGACACGCCCCTATTTGATGATGCACAGAGTCTGATCTCTCCCATAACACACAATAACACTCCCCGAGCACATTTGAAGTTGATCAAAAAAGTCCATCAAAGTTGTCCAAAGAACTCTTTTGACTGGTAGTGTAGGTCTAAAATAGTTATTTGATAAATATTAATTATTTAAGTCCTGAAAAACCTATAATATTTGTCCTTCAGATATAATGTTGGTAGTTAATCTAATGTGCATATTTTGATTCATTAATTCTACCATGGTAAATTACTGAAGTATAATCAATTTTAAAATTATGTGCAATTGCCACTAGAGGGCGGAATGCGACAATCGTATCCTAATGTTGTGTGCAGTGAAAAACCTGCTTATCGTGAACCATTTATAATTATTATTAATTTTTAGCTTGCCTTGTCCTAAACTGAGGCTACAAGACAACAAAATCAATCATAAAACACAGCCAATCATTACCGTGCGTGGGCTCTTTGTGTTTTATCTAGGACCCTTCGAGTCATGACTCGGAAAAAGATTTGTTCATTTTGATGAACGAATTCGAACAGGAGAGTCACAAAACATGCATCACAGAACAGAGCAAGGCGAGCATTTGAGCTTATAAAACTTAAACTTTGTTATTTATTTATTAAATGAGCGATCGTTTTGCTTGATAAGACCCTTATTCATCGTCTGGTGTCGTTTAAAGCCCTTTGAAGCTGCACTGAAACTCTCATTTGGACCTTGAACCGTTTGGTTCCCATTGATGGAGAAAATCCTGGAATGTTTTCATCAAAAACCTTCATTTCTTTTCGACTGAAGAAAGAAAGACATGGACATCTTGGATGACGTGGGGGTGAGTAAATTATCAGCATTTTTTTTTTAAAAGTGAACTACTTCTTTAAGTGATTTCCAATTGAGCGGGAAGGAAATAAATATGGCGCTCAAAATAGCCTAAGCACAACAATACAGAAAGATGTGTAAATCAGCGTGGTATAGAAAAATATAGTAAATCGGTATAGAAAAATTACATTTTGATAAATGGAAACTAAAATTTAAAGCAACAAACTAAATTCCCTGATATTCCATGACTTGGACAAAATATATAAAAAATTCCCTGACTTTCAATGTCTGGAATAGACCTTTTAAAATTCCATGACATTTCAGAAATTCCATGACCCATGGGAACCCTGATTATTGGACAAACTGATGGTAACTCGCGATTGAGCTGCGATAGGCTCAGTGACTCTAGTGCGTCATCAGGTAGGGGCGTGTCCAAGACCTCGGTGGCTTCAGTGCATCGTTGAGCCCCCGTTTTATCCCTGCCCAAAAAATCCAGATCACAGCAATGGTGAAAAGCTAGTTAACGGTCTATCTCCACAATTCAGTACTTCACAGTTCTCAGTCTTTGTAATATGTTTTAGCAATACATTTCTAGCATTTATAATACGTTTAGATTTTTTTTTTTTTATAGAATTGCCTTTACAGGGACAAAAACAGTAGATGTAATTACCATTAAATGAGAAATCTGACTGCTGAGGGGCTCTGATTGGACATTGTGTCCATGTGCTCAACATATATATAATGTCTGTGATTGGCTACAATGATCAACATTTCAAAAAAATGTTGTCTTCACTGACCGCTTAACGCTGTGTAAGCGCTGGATGAAGACATGTTTTTGAAACGTTCTGAATTAGACTGAGAAATCTTCCCACTCAGGGAACGAGGGTTACATACGTAACCGAGACGTTCCCTTTCGTAGTCACTTCGAGTTACGTCAGAAGTGACGGAGATTGGGGGTCTGTGCCATCACGCCATCTTCAAGCTGTCTTCCAGTGCCCTGCGAAAGTCTGGACCCCCGAGCCTTACCTCTTTTTTTTTTTTTTTTTTTTTTTTTTCAGGGATCCGACTTTGACACAGGATTACCAAGGTACACTGGGAAACATATCCCAGAAGGGACATGCTACCAGCTGCCTACCGAAGGGAGGACTTACGAATACACATATGGCCACATAGGAACACATATGGAACACTGGAGTACCAACCGCAGGTGGCTACTAATTTCAACTCCAGGGGTGGCAGATGGCTTGCCAAGGGAAGACACATGCTCAGAGAGGCTTACAGTGGATAATACACATGAGACGGTTACCATGGGGAACCGTGCGCATGGAGGCACCTAGCCAGCATCCAGAGCAACAGCAGTGGTGCCCGCATCGTCGGTGCTGGAGGACTCAAGACTTCAATGGAAGAACTGAGGAAATATCGCACTTATCCAGTCCGGGGAGTGGAGTGGCGAGCAAGCGAAGACACCTGAGCGGATCCAGAACTGGCCGAAACGAGTACGTGAGAGGATACCGGCTCAATTCGCAGATTATAGAATCTGGCGAAGGTGTTGGGTGTCGCCCAGCCTGCAGCTCTGCAGATGTCTGTTAGCGAGGCGCCGTGCGCTAAAGCCCAAGAGGAGGCTACACTCCGAGTGGAATGGGCCGTCACACCAAGGGGGCACGGAAGGCCTTGCTGCTGGTAAGACAAAGCAATGGCGTCCACTATCCAGTGGGACAGCCGTTGCTTTGAGAGAGCCCTTCCCTTCTGGCTCCCCCCATGACAGACAAAGAGCTGGTCTGAGGTCCTGAAACACTGCGTTCTGTCGACATAGGTGCGGAGAGCACGTACCGGACAGAGCAGTGCCAAGGCTGGGTCTGCCTCCTCCAGGGGCAGCGCTTGCAGGTTCACCACCAGGTCCCGGAGGGGAGTGGTAGGAACCTTGGGCATATATCCAGGCCGGGGTCTCAGGAATACGTGAGAGTAAGCCGGCCCGAACTCCAGGCACACTTCGTCAACAGAGAGTGCGTGCAGGTCCCTTACTCTCCTGATGGAGACCAATGCAATCAGGATTGCTGTCACATAGGACAGGGCAAAAACTCTACCGACTGCAAAGGCTACAGGGGAGGCCTCTGTAGAGCACCCAGGTCTACTGAGAGGTCCCCAGAGGGCAGGAGGGGAGGGAGGCGGATTTAGCCCCCTCACTCCCCTCAGGAACCTGATGACCAGGTCATGCTTCCCATAGACTTACCTTTCACTGCATCAT